CAAAAAGGGGGAACAGGGTGGTGGCAGGCAGTTCCCACGTGCCCCATTTTTGGCCTAGATGTCCTCCTGCAGCATTCTGCTGACCAAAATGGGGTACCCGGGGGGGCAGCGGGCGACCTCGTGTGCCCCATTTTCTGCCTGAACATCCTTCTGCAGCACCCTGCCGGCCAAAATGGGGTGGGGGAGGCAGATCCAGCCCGCAGGACTTGAGTTTGAAACCCCTGGTATAGGATCCCTTGCTTGAGCAGGAGTTTGGACTAGAAGACCTCCAAGGTACCTTTCAGCTCTATTGATTGATTGATTGATTGATTGACTGACAGGAAATGGAGTCTCCTGGATGGAAATCAGGATGCTAATCTAACAATTAAAAAAACATAGCAGAACATAAGATCAAAATCAAAATGTACTCAGAACCTTTAACGTTATCTTGAGAATAATTCAAAAAGACTGAGTTATGAATATTAAATTATAAATAAAAAAGAGAGTAGATTCTGAGGTATTGATCAGTGCAGTTCCTGAGGCAATCTTTTTCAGTTGGGATTGGACTCAGAAGAATGCCACCCAGTAAGCATCTGGAAGCCTTTTTAAAATCTTAAGAGTGACCTGTGGGAAAGCGAGAAAACTGGCTCTGAAAGAGTCAACTTTCAAGGCGTTTTAAATGTTCGAATCAACCTTTTTCCCCTTCCAAGTTGGCAAGCAGCTCTGGTTCTTGGCCCTAGTATTATGCATCACTTCACGGGATTCCTGCTGTTTTACATCTGCTGACGTTTCTGGCATTCTTCAAGGATGCCTGACCTAGAGAAATTTGAGCTGGACTGGGCTCAAAAGAATTAAGGAAGGTCACACCTGGTAGTTCTGGAAATGGAAAAGACCCGGAACAATCACAGGGTTGCAGCTTAGTGTGAGAAGCTGACAAAATAGCTCAGAGCAAGACAGTGGAAAATTACTGCTCTTGTTGCCAAAAAAACAAAAAAAACTACTTGAAGTCACTTTGTGCAGGGTTCAATTGAAAGAAAACGTTACTTTTACTTTGATCCAGGTATGGGCAATGCTTGCAGATGTTATTAAATTAATCAGGATGGCGGAAAAGAGGACTAAATGGAAGGATCTCAACAATGTGGAGAAAAACTAAATAGCAAATGTTGGGCATTGTACATAGGAGGTTCTGCATATTGAAATATTCATGATTCCAACTTTATAATTAAATATTATAACGTTGTTGGGATCGCTTCGTTCCAATGTGCAGGACCTCCTATGTAGGATGAACAGCATTATATTTCATTTATATTTTCCTGGAAATAATAAAGGTGGGATATTCATTAATTAATAGCAGGGCCTAAATCGGTGATATTTGTGGTCGGACAGTTTAATCAATCTTATACAGATAGTCCTCAACTTACAGCGGTTAGTGACCGTTCAAAGTTACAACAGCACTGAAAAAAAGTGACTTATGACCATTTTTCACACTTAACAACCGTTGCAGTATCCTCATAATCCTGTTTGTATGCTTGGCAACTGACGGTTGCAGTGTTCAGAGGTCATGTGATCCCCTTTTGCGACCAGCAAAGTCAATGGGGAAGCCAGATTCACTTAACAATCATGTTGCTTATTTAGCAACTGCTGTGATTCACTTAACAACTGGCTCAAAAGGTCATAAAATGGCTCAAAATCCACACTATGAATGTTTCACTTAGCAACAAACGTTTTGAGCTCAATTGTGGTCCTAAGTCAAGGTGTTAAGTACCTGTATCAACTTGAAAAATTGGAGAACTTAAAGCAAAAATCTTGGAGAACTTAGTATCTAGATATTTATTGTGCAATAATTCTACATTAAGCAGTGTATTTTAGAGAGGATCATTCAGTTTGTAGGCTATACTTCCCCATTATTTCATCATTATCTTGCAATAGAAAGAAAGATGGAATATTTGCACAGTGCCTTGAATTGAGAGCATTAAGAGTTCAGTTGAAGAAGACCAAGTCTGTACAAAAGGTTATTAGAAAAATAACTGAGGAAGAATTGTAAAGGAAAGGATGGCAAATTTACAGAGTGGAAACAGTACAGAAATGGGCAACCACAAAGATTCATGAAAGTGGAATAGCTTTGCTAAAAGCAAGCTTTAAACATTGGCGGCTTCTTAGCTTAATTAAAATGAAAAAGGCTAGAAAAAGTTTAAAAATTTGGTAAAAAATGTAAAAGAAATCATGCAGCATAATGAGACTTCTAGAATTCTGCTTAAGGCAAAATTGATTGGCATTAGATTATGGATAGTTATAATGAAACACAGGTAGTTCTCAATTTATCACCACAAACGGGACCAAAATTTCCTTTGCTAAGTAAGGCAGTTGTTAAGTGAAGTTTTGCCCAATTTGCGACCTTTTTTGGCCACTGTTGCTAAGTGAATCAGTGTAGCTGTTAATTTAGTATCCTGGTTGTTAAGTGAATCTGGCTTCCCCATTGGCTTTGTGTGTCAGAAGATCACAAAAGGTGATCTCATGACCCCAGAACAGTGCAACTGTCATAAATGCATGCCAGTTGTCAATCATCCGAATTTTGATCATGCGATCATGGAGATTCTGGTGTGAAAACCAGTCTTAAGTCATTTTTTCAGTGCCTTGTGACTTTGAACAGTCAGTAAATGAATGATTGTAAGTCGAGGACTACAGATAGTGTTTTATACAACTTGTGGTTCATTTATTATTATTTTTTTGCATTCTGAAACATGTGAGTTTCTGCATACAGTCAATGAACAAAGCTCTCTTTTAATATTCCTAACCTTCAGTCTTTTTGTGTGTGTGGAGTACTACAAGTAGTCCCTCAACAATTGAGCCCAATATTTATGTTGTTAAGCAGGGATGGGCTTCAAAAATTTCAGAATGGGTTCTCTGCCTGGTTGCTGGGTGGGCATGGCCATGGTGGGTGTGGCCTAGTCAGCTTCCTGCACCATGGCGCTGAGCAGGGGAGGGGGGAGTTTTCTCCTTCCCCAGAGTCCGAAGGCTTTCCTCAAGCCTTTGGGAGTGTGAAAACTGCCTTCCCTGGGCTCTGGAGGGGTCCATTTCCAGCCTTCCAGAACTTCCAGGGGGCTCCTTTTCCCCCTCCCTGAGCTTCCACATGGGCCCTGCACTTACCTCGCATCCAAAATGGGCTGTGTGAAGATTCCTGGGAGGGGCAGATGGATTGGAAGGGGCGGAGTGGGTTGGGCGGAGCCAGACAGAGGTGGGATTTGGAGGTTCTTCTAACTGGCCATAACATTAGCTACGGGTTCTCCCATACCCGGATGAACCTGTAGCAGCCCACCCCTTGTTAAGTGAGTAATTCATTAATTGCTCCATTTTACGACTTTTCTGTCCCTATTTGCTAAGCGAATCACTGCAGCTCTTAAATTAATAACATGATTGTTAAGTGAATCTGGCTCCCCCATTGGCTTTGCATGTCAGAAGGTCGCAAAAAGGGAAATCACATGACCCCGGGACAGCCATAAATGTGAGTCATGGTCAAGCGTCTGAATGTAAATCACATAACAGTGGGGATCCTGCAACATGTCATAAGTCACTTTTTTTCATTGCCATTGTAACTTTGAACAGTCACTGAATGAACTGTTGCTAGTTGAGGATTACCTGTATTGCTAGAAAATGTTGGTGATCAACGAGCATTTTGCAATAAGCAAATATGTGCATTAAATTTAAAGTTATCCAACCACCCAGGGGATGCGACAGATATTGTTGCATCACCAATTCTGCTCTTGCAACCAGGGCACTGTATCAATCAGAAATTGAATCAGCTTTTAATTTCCTTTTCGATTATTTCAGCCTGTAATTGCAATGGCCACGCCTATGACTGCTATTATGACCCAGACATCGAGCATCAGAAAGCCAGCAAGAATCGTTATGACCAGTTTGAAGGAGGAGGGGTCTGCATTGACTGTCAGGTGGGGCTTTAATTTGTACATAGTATTTCCTCTCATTCTTTTGAGATACAGGTAAATTCAGTGTTTGAATTTGTTTCTAATTGAATTGGTTCACGAACGATCTTGGCTGAGAAGAATGGGGATGATTATCTAGTGTCAGGCCTCGAAGCCATCTTTTGCATTGGGCCTTCAGGCCTGCCACAATTAATGCTGTGGGAAAATGGGAAGGGGGATTATATGGAGTATATCTCCAGTTGGGACAGTGTTTGATTGGACCATGTGATGGACATGTGGGTGTTGAGCAGGGACTTGAACTTTCGTTTGGGTGGGAAGAAAACCTGGAAACTCAGATTCGGGTTTTCCCAGATGTGCCAATATGACATCTCTAATAAAATGGAACTTTGAGGGAACTCACTCAAGCCTCGGAGTCTTTTTTCCTTGTGGGTGTTCCTTGGGACGCTGACATTGATCCGAATCTGAGGAGAAGGGAATGAGGCTTTGTGTGGATTTTCGTGGAATTAATGCCATGTGCGTGGAGAACACCTACCTTCTCCCACTCATGAAGGACCTGCTAAACCATTTAGCCAAGGGCAAGGTGTTCACCAAATTGGATTTAAGAGAAGCCTACTAACGCATAAGAATTAAGGAAGGAGATGAATGACATCTAGATGCCGAAGAGCTAATTTGGAGGGATCCGGGAGGAGAATGTGCAGAAAAATTGTACTGAGGCTAGTTGTGTCTCCTTCATTTAATTACAGATAGTCCTTGACTTACGACCACAACAGAGCCCAGAATTTATGTTGCTAAACAAGTTATTTGTTGAGTTTTGCTCCATTTTACGACTCTTCTGGCCATGGTTGTTAAGTGAATCGTTGCACTTCTTAAATTAGTAATATGGTTGTTAAGTGAATCTGGCTTCCCAATTTACTTTGCTTATCAAGAGGTCACAAAAACCTGATCACATGAACTTGGGGCACAGCAATTGTCAGTTGCCAAGCATCCAAATTTTGATCCAGTGACCATGGGGATCCTGCAATGGTCATAAGTGCAGGAAAAATGGTCATGTCATTTTTATCACTGCCCTTGTGGCTTTGAACAATCACTAAATGAACTGTTGTAATTAGAGGACTACCTGTGTTTTAGGGGAATTATATTTTTCTTTTTTTTAAATCCTAATTAATTGTGACTTTGGGGTTTTTCTCTGCTGGTCTACTCACCGATTGCAGTTTGTTTGATTAATGGATCATATTTGTCTGACTTATGATGCCTCAAACAGATAAATTATATCTAATAGATACATTATTTTGCAGCATCATACAACGGGCGTTAACTGTGAGAGGTGCAGTCCGGGATATTATAAATCCCCTGATCATTCCCTAGATTCACCTTATATTTGCTACCGTGAGTATTTTCTCTCTGCTCTCTACATGTGTATCCTTCTGAGGACATCCATCCACAGCCTCTCATCCCAAAGGGTGGAAAATCTTAGGGGACGTCAAAATAAGATATGAGAGGCAGCCCTTGAACAAAATAAGTCTTTACTTAATGACAGTGATTGAGACAGAATACCCATTGCTCGGTGATGTGGCTGTAAAACAGGTTGTCACCGGATTTCAATCCTTAACCATGGCAGATCTGTCAGTTCCTGGTTACTATTGTTAAGTGAGGACTTCACATGATTTCAACTTCCTCCTGGCTTTCCCATTGAATATTTTATTTGAGACCTATGCTACTAAGTTTATTATAAATATAAAATACACTGCCTAGTATACTAGAGAGCCAGTTTGGCCTAGTGGTAAAGGCACCAGGTTAAGAAATCGGGAGAATGTGAGTTCAAATCCTTCATTAATCATGAAAGCCAGCTGGTTGACTTTGGACCAATCATCAGGAGACTGTGAATTCTAATCACAGCTTGGGCGTGAAAAGTGGCAGGATGACTTTGGGCCAATCACCAGGTGACGGAGGTCTAGTCCCGCCTTAGCCATGAAAAGTGGCAGCATGCCTTTGGGCTAATCACCAGATGACTTCATTTCTAGTCCTGCCTTAGTTATGAAAGCAGCTGGGTGACTTTGGGCCAGTCACTCTCTCTCTCGGCCCAACCCACCTCATAAGGTTGTTTTTGTGGGAAAAATAGGAGGAGGAAGGAATAGCAATAGAAATAGCACTTAGGTTTATATACCACGTCACAGTGCTTTACGGCCCTCTCTAAGGGGTTTACAGAGTCAGCCTATTGCCCCCAACAATCTGGCTCCTCATTTTACCTACCTTGGAAGGATGGAAGGCTGTCAACCTTGAGCTTGGTGACATTCGAACTGCCAAATTGCAGTCAGCCGGCAGTCAGCAGAAGTAGCCTGCAGTACTGCATTCTAACCACTGCGCCACCGCGGCCTCTGAATGTTCAACATGTTTAGAGTCTTGAGTTATTTGTAGGCAGGATATCAATCAATCAAAATAAAAATGCAGACATGATCGTTCATCATCTCTCCTTCTAGGCTGCAACTGTGACTCAGTCTTCACCGATGGCACTTGTGAGGATTTCACTGGCCGCTGCTACTGCAAGCCAAACTACTCAGGAGAACATTGTGATGCTTGCGCAGACAATTACGTGGACTTCCCCCATTGCTACCGTAAGTATTAGTCTCGCAACTAAGTACTGGTTCCATAAGTCTGCAGTGTCTGACCGAGGCTTCCCAACAGCATGAAACAAACTCCTTCTCCCAACAAAAATNTATGATCTTTTTGCAGTTCTTAATGCTCGAACATAGTCCTTGGTGCAGGTGGTTAAAAGTGCTCGGTTCACCTCGGACTTATCGGACCTCCACTGGTGCTCTAGGCTCTTAATGGTTGTTAAGTAAATCTGGTTTCCCCATTGACGTTGCTTGTCAGATGATTGATGATCTCGTGACCCTGGGACATTGCAACCGTCATAAATATGAGTCAGTTCACATGAGCACAGGACTATTGTAGTGGTCGTAAAGTGTGAAAAAGGGACATGACATTTTTTCCCATGCCATTATAACTTCGAGGAGTCCCTAAATGAACTGTTGTAAGTTAAGGACTACCTGTACTGCATTTTTGTTACTGTTTTCATTTTAATATTTTCTTGATAAGAATGCAAATATAGATAGTCCTTGACTTATGACCACAATTGACCCCCCCAGATTTATGTTGCTAAGCGAGTCATCTGCTAAATGTGTTTTGCTCCATTTTACAACCTTTCTTGCCACCATTGTTAACTAAATCCCTGCAGTTGTTAAGTTAGTAACAGCGTTGTTAAGTGAATCTGGCTTCCCCATTGACTTTGCTGGTCAGAAGATCACAAAAGGTAATCACATAACCCTGGGACACATCATAAATACGAGTCAGTTGCCAAGCCTCTGAATTCTGATTATGTGACCATGGGGATACTGGAAAGATCGTAATTGTGAAAAATGGTCCTAAATCACATTTATTTCAGTGCTGTTGTAACTTTGAACGGTCACTAAATGGTTGAATTTCAAAGACTAAATGTAGATTTGGGGCAGGGTGAGCTCCTATGGGTTTTCCTGGGTTCGGGAGAGCCCGTAGCTAACGTTATGGCCAGTTCGTAAAACCTCCCAAAACCCCTGGTTGGCCCCGCCCACCGCGCTCCACCCCTCCCTGCGCCTCCCAGGAATCTCCACTCAGCCTGTTTTGATGCGAGATAAGTGCAAGGTCCTCATGGACGCTCGGGGAGGGGGGAAACGAACCTCCCGAAGCGGGCCTGTTTCCGGCCTCCGGAGCCCAGGGGAAGCAGTTTTCCCCCTCCCAGAGGCTTTAGGAAAGCCTCCGGAGCACGGGAATGCGAAAACGGTCGCCACCCCCAGTCTGGTACAGGAGGCCGACTAGGCCACACCCACCATGGCCACACCCACCCAGGAACCGGGCAGAGAACCCGTTGCTGAAATTTTTGAAGCCCACCCCTGATTTGGGGGTATTCTGAGGGGGGGGGAATGGCAATGATTGAACTGTTTTTAAGCATATGGCATTTGTCTGCTTTGTAATACAGAAAGGAAGTGTGTTGTTTAATATATTCCTTCATTTTTATCTGCAGTCCTGCCCAAGGCTATTATATCCCCGACCTTCACCACCTGAAATACGAGCTGGAAGAGGGAACCACCTTGAATGGAAGGCCGGTTCGCTTTGGCTACAGTCCTCTGGAATTTGAGAATTTCAGCTGGCGAGGATATGCGCAAATGTCTCCTATCCAGGTACTCAGGTGGACATGAAGGACAGTTTCCAACCATTAAGATTTGAGATATGCAAAGCCCTTCCCTACAGGTATTCCTCGACTTACGACCACAATTGAGCCCCAACATTTCTGTGGTTAAGTGAAACATTTGTTAAGGGAGTTTGGCTCCATTTTATGACTTTCCTTTGCCACCAGGGGTGCTATTGATTTATCTTCCCTACCGGTTCGCAAATGTGAGCACAGGCCCAGCCTTCCACGCATGTGCTTTTGGTGCAAAAGGGGCCTAAATGGGATGCCATAGAGCCGGGGCGAGTGGGAGGGGCCACCCACAATTTCCGCTACCGGTTCGGGCGAACTGGTTTAAACGGTAGAATACCACCTCTCTTTGCCATGGTTGTTAAGCAAATCACCGCAGTTGATAAGTTAGTAACCCAGTCAGTTGTTAGACTGAACCTGGCTTCCTCCACTGACATTACTTGTGAGAAAGTCGCAAAATCGGATCACATGACCCGCGGGACACAGCAACGGTCATAACTATGAACCTGTTGCCAAGAGGCTGAATTTTGATCAGGTGATTATGGGGAGGCGGCAACATTCGTAGCTGTGACAAACGGTCCTCAGTCCCATTTTTTAGTGCCGTTGTAAGTTTGAACGGTCACTAAATGAACTGTTGTAAGTCGAGGACTACTTGTATATAACCCAAAGGGTAAAAGTCAACATCTCTAACACCACATGTGCTGTCAATGAAAGAAAATGATTTAAAGTAATTTATGTCGGATTTTCATGGCTCTGCTACAGAAGTGCTTTATTTGCTGAACACTTAAAACACAGGTAGTCCTCGACTTACAACGGTTCACTTAGTGACTTTTTGAAGTTACAGCGTCGGTGAAAAAAGTGACCGATGATCGTTGTTCACACTTGTGACCCTTGCAGCATCCCCATGGTTCTGCAATTAAAATTCAGTCTCTTGGCAACGGACTCAAATTTATGACGGTTGCAATGTCCCGGGGTCATGTGGTCCCCTATTGCAAATTTCTGATAAGCGGTCAATGGGGAAAGCAAGATTCACTTAGCAACCATCTTACTCACTTAACAACTGCGATGATTTGCTTAACTACCATGTCAAGAAAGGTCATAAAATGGAGCAAAATTCAACTGTCTCGCTTAACAGCAGAAATGTTGGATTCAGCTGTGGTCTCAAGCTGAGCACTGCCTGTATTTGATGTGACTTTCAAAATCTCTCCAAAACCTCAAGGCAANATACACTGAATACAACATTTTTTGCCTCCTGAAACCCTGCCCCCTTCACCAAAATGGCCGTGCATAGCCTTTAGGAGCTTTCAGAGAGCTCCTGGGGGCTGGGGAGGGCAGAAATGAGCAAAAAACAGACCCCTTTTTTCCTCGATTTTGCCCCCCACCCCAGCCCCCAGGAGCACTCTATAAGCCTCCTAAGGGCTGTGCATGCAATTTTTTTGATGAAAAACAGGCCGTTTTTTGCTCATTTTTGCCCACCCCCCACCTCCCAGGAGCACCCCACAAGCCTCCTAAAGGCTATTCATGCCTTTTTAACAACAACAAAAAAAAAGCGAAAACCGTTTTGGGAGGTTTTTGGGACACAAAAACTTTTTTTTTATTTGCCTCTTCAAAACCTTGGTGCATCTTATACTCCGAAAAATACGATACATATTTCCCTCTTCCATCCGATGTATTTTCCAGATGGCGTTCGAGCCTCTTCCTCATTCACTTTTACCTATTTGTTCCTCAGGGATCCTGTGAATGTCGGGCCTATGTGGAAGGTGAAGCTTGTGATAAATGCAAACCTCTTTACTGGAACCTGACTCCAGAGAATCCATTTGGATGCACAAGTAAGAAATATCCCTTGTTGGTGTGGATTAAGTCCAGGAGAACAGGCCTCCTTGCTCCCATCTTCTGACAAGTGAATTTGCCATCAAGGCTCTAGGGAGATTCTCAGTCATCCAGGTCATGGTTGTCCCAAAGGTGCTTTTTCAAAAAGGCAACTGGACTTTCGTTTTTTTTCCTTGAGGAAGACATTTCGCTTCTCCTCCAAGAAGCTTCTTCAGTTCTGACTGGATGGTGTGGGGGAGGAGGGATGAAAGGATTACAGGTACTACTCAACTTATGACCACAATTGAATCCAATGTTTGTGTCGCTAAGCGAGACACATGTAACGTGAGTTTTGCCCCATTTTATGACCTTTCTTGCCACAGCTGTTAAGTGAATCACTGCAGTTGTTAAGTTTGTAACACGATGGTTAAGTGAATCTGGCTTCCCCATTGACTTGGCTAGTCCAAAGGTCACAAAAGTGGATCACATGACCCTGGGACACTGCGACCGTTGTAAAGATGAATCAATTGCCAAGCGTCTGAATTGTGAACATTTGGCCGTGGGAATGTGACAATTTAACATTATGGGTAGGAGTGGTGCAGTGGCCTAGAGGTGGAGCTCTTGCCTCACAATCAGGAGGCTGTGAGTTCGATCCTAGGTAGAGGCAGATATTTCTCTCTTNACATTTTGGTTGCTAAGCAAGAGCGTTGTTAAGTGAGTTTCACCACATTTTACAAGTTGGCCGCGCCCACCCAGTCACATGACTGCCAAGCCACTCCCACTCGGTTACATGGCCAGCAAGCCACTCCCACAAAGTAGGCCACACCTACAGAAGAGGTTCTAAAAAAATTTGAAACCCATCACTGGGATTGACCACGGGGATGCAGCAACAGTCGTATGAAAAATGGTCATTGGACATTTTTTTTCAGTGCCACTGTAATTTCGAACAGTCACTAATTGAATGGTTGTAAGTTGAGGACATCTGTAAGTGGCATATGTTTTTTCATCGAAGAAACTTCAGGATAATAAGAGCCGTGGTGGCACAGTGGTTAGAATACAGTATTGCAGGTTAATTCTGCCCACAGTCAGGAGTTCGATCCTGACTGGCTCAAGGTTGATTCAGCCTTCCATCCTTCTGAAGTCAGTAAAAATGAAGACCCAGATTGTTGGGGGCAAGAGGCTGACTCTGCAAGCCACTTAGAAAGGGCTGAAAATCACTATGAAGCGGTATATAAGTCGAAGGGCTATTGCTATGGTATGAATACTTTGCTATTTTTTTTTACAGGATCAAAATAAATTCAGTGATAGATAAAGGTCTTTGAAGTTCATTTGTATGCATTTTGCAATTGCTTGCAAAATGTTATTGATGGGATTAATTGATTGCATCCCCTCTAGACTGCATAAATGATGTTTCTGCATTTTCCCCCAGCTTGTCTCTGCTCCATAGAAGGCTCTCTTTATGACACCTGCAATCAAGAAACTGGTCAATGTACTTGCCGTCCAAGAGTAACTGGACTGCGCTGTGATGCCTGCATTTCCGGGGCCTATGGATTCCCAGACTGTCAAGGTAATCACAACGCTCCATATATTTCACATTGCCAGGGTTAAATCTTGTTTCAAGATTCAGGGTTAATCTAAATGTTGGGCTATTAGAATAGCTATTACTGTACCAGGCCATGTTGCTAACCTTGTTTTAAAATGGATTTATTCATATGCTTTGGTGGTGTTTTGCAATATGGCAGCTTGAAGATATGTGGACTTCAACTCCCAGAATTCCCCAGCACGCATGCTGGCAGGGGAATTCTGGGAGTTGAAGTCCACACACACCTTCAAGCTGACATGCTGGCTGGGGAATTCTGGGAGTTGAAGTCCACACATTAACATGTTAGTGAAGGCTAGTTGGGGAATTCTGGGAGTTGAAGTCCACACATTTTCAAGCTGGCATGCTGGCAGGGGAATTCTGGAAGTTGAAGTTCACTCAACCTCTGGCTGCCAAGATTGAGAAACACTGTTCTATATTGCTGAAATTAAAAACCACATAAAATCCCCGCTTTGGTTGCTGAGCGCTTTGTTCAATATTTTTGGCACATAATTATTTTTTTGCTTTTTGCATTAGTTTGATGTGATATTTTTTTATCCTTGAAACCAGTTTTCTTCTTGGCAGCTAATGTAAACTCTTAGTTATTCTGCCAAGTCCTTGGCAATAAATAGCTCATGTACCTTTCTAGGAACAGTGTGTGAACGGGTGCTTTCTTTCTTTTTCTTAATGTCTTCTCTGATCTGTGTTTATTTGTTTCAGTGGGATCTTGTAACCCTGCAGGGCTTGTACATGAAGATCATTCTCTACCTGAGGTATGTCTTGTGAATACTGAACTGAGCCTGGATACTTGCTTATTCATACGTTATTAAATTGCATGCTCTGAGGGCTGAATGCAAAGTGAACTTAAGATGGTTTCCCTCTCTTATGGGAGCTACAAAATGGCTGCCAAGCAGGTACAGTTTAAAATGGAGGATCCAATCTAGGTCAGTCACCAGGACCAGAGATTTAGTCTTCCAAGAAGGTCCTCAGGGAACTTCTCTCTAACATAATGTGTGCTTTGGGCTATTCTGTGTGTCGTCTTTATGTGGTGTCTGGTTGGGTATGGCTACCTATTGGTTGACTGGTATGCTGATGTCCAGCTATTAGGTCGTTGGCTGTTGTTTCTTTTGTGCTGCCAAGACTTCAGCTCCTTAAATATCTGATAAGCTGATGATAAATCAGCATTCCTGCTGACCGAAAAGGGGCCCATTTCCCAGGTTCCAATCATTTTCCTGGCTATCTTTGTACCTGCTCGGCCAACAATCTTAGTAGCTGTAAAATTGAACGCATGTCAGTGGTGAAATTCAAAAATTTTCCTTACCGGTTCTGTGGGCGTGTCTTGATGGTCATGTGGCGGAGCAGGCATGGCTTGGTGTTCATGTAACCAGGTGGGCGTTGCTGCACAACTGACTCACACACAATATAAAAGCAGCTGGACTTCACACAAAATGGCCCCTGCAACAAGCAGGAACCTCACAGACAATCAGACACAGCTGATTGCTGCACAGCTGATTGGTAGTAAAAAAAAAGTTCCAACGATCAGCTGATGTTGAAACTTTTTTTAAAAAACTTTTTAAAGAATTTTTAAATTTTAAAACTTTTTAAACTACTAATTTGGGCGAACTAGGCTGAACCGGTAGCATTTCACCCTGATGCATGCCCTTGTTCATTGCAATGAGAGGCTACCTGTTGAGGACTCAGAAAGTCCTCGACTTACAACCTAGCAGCTAGCAACTAGCCAAGCCACGCCCTGATTGCCTAAGGCGCGGCTTGGCTAAGCGCAGGCTGCTAGGGGCGCGCTTATTGGCTTTTCCTGCTTGACAGCTCCATATAAATAGCTGTCAAGCAGGGAAGGTGCTGAATCACCTGTAAATAGTTCTGACCTGTTAATAAACTCTTCTGCGATCTCCAGTCCTGGCTCCTGCCTCGTCCTTCCGCTGATTCTCTAAACTACCAATGATTTCGGGACTCCTCGTCTGACCGCTCACTTGTGTTCTTGCAATCTGGTGGTTAGCTCCCTACCCATCTGCCCTGTTACAGATACAGGGGCAATCCATGCAGGAGATCCATATATATAACATTAGAATTCAATTCAAGATGCTGGTTAACAGCTGTTTGATACATTGGTTGGGACCCGGTTGTTTGAAAAACCACCTGTTTTCCATTAAATCCACTTGCCCCACCAGGACAAGAAAGCAGGGTACCGTATTTTTCTGAGCATAAGACACACCTTTTTCCCTCCTAAAAGAGTGTTGAAATGTTGTTGTGTCTTATATGCCGAATAGAGTCATTTTTGGCCTCTCGAAGCCCTGCCCCCCTCTCCCCGCATTCCATTTTTGCAAAAAACGGGCCGTTTTTCACAAAAGTGGAGGGGGTTTTGCCTTCCCCCAGCCCCCAGAAGCACTCTGCAGACTTCAGCAGGGCTGGAGGAAGGCAAAAACGCCCCCGTTTTTCACCCGTTTTTTGCAAAAATCGGGGGCGTTTTTGCCTTCCCCCAGCCGTGCTGAAGCTTGCAGAGTGCTCCTGGGGCCCAGGGAAGGCAAAAACTTTTTTTTCTTAACTCTTCGAAATCTTGGTTCGTCTTATACACCGGTGCGTTGTATAGTCCGAAAAATACAGTATATTGCAGGTCCCATCTATGAAGGATGTATATCTGTTGGGTCCTGAGAAAAGGGGCTTCTCTGTGGTGGCCCCTTCCCTATGGAACATCATTCCCCTGAATGTATGATTGGCCCCCTACCCTATTGCGTTTTTTGACAAGTCCTGAAGATGAGGTTTTGTTAGCAGACCTGGGGGCCACAATTGGAGATGGAGCTGATCCAGTTGATTCGACTGTATTTCTTTAAAACAGAACTTTTTTATTTTTCTTTAAAAAAAAAAACACAAATATGTCATCATTTATCAATCATTAAGACATTGAAGTACAATTTTTTTTGTTGTGTGTACCCCTCNAGACAGAGGTGGAATCTCAGATGGAGAGTCAACAATCTTCAGGTCTAGAGGTTGCTGATGAGGAACCGGATGAACAGCTGGGTCCGATGCCTGATGGGTGGATGCTCAGAATACAGAGGAGAGGAGAGCAGTGGAAATCTATGGGCCGATTCTTGGGACGGAATCCATCTCCCTGCCGGACAGACCTATTAGACTGCTATGAGAGAGAGAAAGACTTTTTGCCAGGGCTGCTGGTGCTCCTAATAGAGGGAATATTTATTTAACTACAGAGGGTTTGTTGTGTTTGGGAGTCAGGTTAGAACAGATCATAAGTCTTTTTTTTTCAGCGCCATTGTAACTTCAGTCACCAAAGAAAGGATTGTAAGTCAAGGGCCATCCAGGTTTATGGAGATTTATTTTAGTCTAGTGTTTCAACTGCTAACCAACTTTCTCATTAAATAGGATTAATTTTTGTGTTGTCTCTTCCTTCATATAGCGATCTCGGTTTTATCTTACAATGCTACCGGAGAACAGGTCCTTCCAGCTGGGCAGATAATAAGTAAGCTTTTGATTTTATTTCTGCTTTTTGAAATTCTCATGCTACCTAGTAAAGCGACGGTTTCTTTAGGATATAGAATCAGGAAAGAATCCTGATATTTCACTAGAGGTCAGGATTCTTCTCAGCTTCGTACAAAACCTGCCTGATAGTTCCACCCTTGTGCCTGTTTTCCAGATTGTGACTGCAACGTGGCTGGAACAAGAGGCAACACCTGCAGGAAAGATGCTGAGGCTGGTTTGTGTTTGTGTAAACCGAACTTCCAAGGGACGCAATGTGATCAGTGTGTACCTGGCTACTATGGACCAAATTGCCAACGTGAGTAAATCCTAGTCCAGTGATGGGTAACCTTTTGGTCGTCATGTGCTGAAAGTGTGTGTGTGCGTTGCCCACGCCCATAATACAATGTGTGCATGAGCCCCCCCCAAGGTCCCCCCACGTATGTGCATGCAACCCCCCTCACCCATTTTTGGCTTTCAAGTTGGTGCAGGAGGCCTTCCAGGCTCAAAATGGGGCATGGGCAGGGGGCTTGTGAGCCCCCCCCCCAATATGATTTTGGGCCACTTGCACCAACCTGGAAGCCAAAATGGAGAGCGTGGGGACACATGTGTCATCACCCCGCGTCCTGTTTTGGCCCTGGAAAGCTTCCTACACCAACCTGGAAGCTAAAATGGGTAGCCCCAAAAGCCGTTTTTGCTTGTTTTCCCTCCAGCCCCCAGAAGCACTGTATAAGCCTCCTAAAGGTGATGCATGCCCTTTTTTGACAAAAAATGGGCCTTTTTTTGCAAAAAAATGGGCCGGTTTTTGCTCATTTTTGCCCCCCTCCCAGCCCCCAGGAGCACTCTACAAGCCTCCTAAAGGCTCTGCATGCCCCCCCTTTTTTTGACAAAAACAGGCCCGTTTTTCGAAACCTTTTTGAGAGGTCTGCAAGAGAAATGCAAAACCTTTTTAAAAAAAATTTGCCTCTTTACAATCTTGGTGTGTTTTATACTCCGATGCATCTTATACTCTGAAAAATACGGTAAGTCTAAGTGCTAGTGCTATTGTGTAGAGGCATCTGTAATTATGGTTTTAAAATGTTTAATCTCCCGTTTCACAGCTTGCCAGTGCTCGGGTCCTGGATTCTACGAAGGCAGCTGCGACAATGAAACTGGACAATGTCTGTGCCGAATTGGATTTCAAGGCTACTTATGCAACTCGTGTGTTCCTGGCTATTTCAACTACCCACTCTGTCAACGTGAGTTGTCAAATATGGAGGAGTAACAGTGTTGGAAGGGACCTTGGATGTCTCCTAGTCTAACCCTTTTGCTCAGGCACGAAACCCTATGTCAGAGTTTACTGCAAAAATAAAATCCAGAAAGCACACACAGATAACTGATTCAGCAGGATTTATTAACTTCTTCATATGCATAGTGACACATGAATAAATATACAATACCAACAGCAGAATCTTCCAACTAGTAGAAAGAAGAGATCAGTTTTCATTTCAGAGTTCAGAGCTTAGACTAGGTTGGTTCTCTTGCACAGACTCAGAGCTACAGAGGTAAGCCACGCCCAGGCTCGAGCATCTGGCATGGCTCTCAGTCACCAAATAGTTCCCATTGGCTGAGCCAGTTGCCATGCCTATACATTGGCTGATCTTGTTACTATGTCTTTGCCAGTTCATGTAGATTCTGACACCCGAACTGGAGAGAACCAGCTGAATACCACTCCTCTGATTTGGTTGCTGGAGGAGCCGGAGGCCAACAGGCTGTAAGACTAAGGTCATGAGGTTTAAAACCTAAACTTTTTTTTTTCCTGTTAAAGTTTGTGGTTGCAGTGCTATTGGGACCTTGCCCGACGGCTGTGATGCTTCCGGAAAATGCCACTGCAGACCTGAATACGGCGGACTTCATTGTGATCAGTGCAGTTTTGGATATCATTCCTACCCTCACTGCCAAGGTGATATATCAGTATGAGAAAGGATTCATAGAAACCATACATTACGGGAAGTCCTCGGTTTATGACCACTTCTTTTAGTGACCGTTTGAAGTTACAACAGTGCCGAAAAAAATTACTTCCAACCAGTCTTCGCACTTACAACTGTCACAGCATCGCTCTGGTCGCATAATTGTAATTTGGACCCTTGGCAATCGGCATATATTTATGACTGTTGCAATGTCTCAGGGTGACGGGATCACCTTTTGCGACCTTCTGACAAGCAAAGTCAACAGGGAAACCAGATTCACAGCAGCTGTGTTGCAACTGAACAATTGCAGCGATTCACTTAACAACTTGTTGTAAAGTGAGGCAAAAATCTCCTAACAATGGTCTGGCTTAGAAATTTGGTGCTCAGTTTTGGTCATAAATCGAGGGCTAACTATATTATCCCCACCTCCTGCTTACAGGGAAACTTACCAGTTGTGTCCCATAACAACTTCTTTGTGAAGTAGGATAGGCTGAGAGAAACTGATAGGTCCTAAACCATCCCATGTGCTCCATACTTCAGGAGATGACTCTCCTTAGTTTTGTTACATTGCCTGGTTTACTCTAGAGCAGGGTGTCAAACTTGATTTCATTGAGGGCCGCATCAGGGTTGTGTTTGACCTTGGGCTTGGCTGGGGTAGGCGTGACCAGGATGGGTGTGGCCCAGTGGTGGGTTTCAAATTTTTGTAGAACCTCTTCTGTAGGTGTGGCCTGCTTTGTGGGAGTGGCTTGCCAGCCATGTGACCGGGTGGAAATGGCCAACTTGTAAAATGTAGTGAAACCCACTTAATGCTCTTGCTTAGCAACCAAAATGTTGGCTCAGAAACTCTGGCATTTGAAGCACGCAAGTCTTAAAGCTGTCAGGTTACAAGACCCTTGCACCCCTAACACTTCGGGAAAAAAATCCAGGGGTGTTCAAACTTGACAGCTTTAAGACTTGCGTGCTT